GACAGGTACGGCGGGACGAAAACGGGTCCTCTCACCAGGAGAGAGCCCGCCGTCCACGTGTTGGTGGGAGCCGTGGACACGTGGGATGCGGGCGGGAGGAGGACGTGCATGCACCTGGCTCCCTCCAGCGGGCACAGGAACGATGCGGGGCGTCTGCGGACCCCCTCCTGGCCGCGCGTGTGTGCGTGCGTGTGCATTGTGTGCACGCGTGTGTGTGAGCCTGACGGCATGCTTCCTCATGCGTGTGCGTGTGCGTGCATTGTGTGCACACACATGTGTGAGCCTGACAGCATGCTTCCTCAGTGTGCACACACACGTGTGTGAGCCTGACGGCGTGCTTCCTCAGTGTGTGCACGCGTGTGTGTGAGCCTGACGGCGTGCTTCCTCATGCCTGTGCGTGTGCGTGCATTGTGTGCACGCGTGTGTGTGAGCCTGACGGCGTGCTTCCTCAGTGTGCACACGCGCGTGTGAGCCTGACGGCGTCCTTCCTCATGCGTGTGCGTGCATTGTGTGCACGCGTGTGTGAGCCTGACGGCATGCTTCCTCATGCGTGTGCACGCATTGTGTGCACACGTGTTTGAGCCTGACGGCGTGCTTCCTCATGCGTGTGCATGTGCACGCATTGTGCACGCGTGAGCCTGACGGCGTGCTTCCTCAGTGTGTGCATGCGTGTGTGTGAGCCTGACGGCGTGCTTCCTCATGCCGGTGCGTGTGCGTGCATTGTATGCACGCGTGTGTGTGAGCCTGACGGCGTGCTTCCTCAGTGTCCCCACGTCTGTCATCTGCTACTGTTTTAAATAGGGAAGGTGAGTGGCGGGAGGTGTCCAGGTTTAGATGTGAAATGTCTGTCTTTGTTTTAGCCCTTTACCTAAAAAAACTAAACTTAACCAATTTCAAAGGCCACACCCACTTATCACATTTAGAAGGGAAGGCACGAAGTGAATAAGATGCTGCGGGGTGAACCCCGTCACTTCGGGGCACGACCTCCATGACCAGCGGCTCCTCGGGCTTATTTCTGCGAAGTGTCACGGAGCCGTGTCGGACCCAAGGCCGGTGGCTCCGCTACCCCGATGCCCCTCCACTCTGCTTGTGCCACCGACGTGCCAGGAGGGCTGTAACGTGTGTCCGAGGCCCACAGCGTGACCCGTGGGATCACAGAAGCGGCT